GAAATAAAAAAAAAAAAAGAGAGAGAGAGATGGATGATAGATAGTAAGTCACATTTTCTAAGAAGCATGTAACTAGCAGGCCAAAGCTGTTCAATATGCCTAGGCTCTTGAGGTGGACTCCAGCATTTCAATCCCAGCTCTAAACATTTATAGACAGAATGACTTTAGACAGCTTAATTTCCTTAAGCTTGAGTTTCCTCATTTATAAAAAAGTAGAAAATTGTTTTTATAGCAAGGGATGATGTGGGGACTAAATTAGATGAAACATTTCAAAGCATTTTGTACAGTGCCTGTCACATGCTATGCACTCAACAAATGTGAATTATGACTATTTAATAATATGATATATCCTTAATGAAAAACTCAATTAAGTAAACAGGGCATGTAACTGATCTTCTAGATACAATGTAAATACATTCCTAAATGTCATATGAAAGACGTGCGCATAGTTCCAGTTTTCTTTTTCTCTATTCTGAGTAAGATTGATTCACTGTTAATTATCAAAATCAAAGTACACACTATGGAAATATGTATAATTTAAGATTCCAGAATAATTGAATCATACCTCTATTTCTTATTCATTCAATAGATTTTTTTTCAGAGCACGATACAAGTAGGTCACTGTGCCTTTTAATTAATGCTGGAACACATACTTGAACTCCTTTCACACCTTAAGATGAACAATGCTAATGGGAAGTCCCTAATTCTTTGCACAGCTTGTTCAATCAGAGAAGATTCATCTTCCTACTGAGAAGCGTAGTAGATATTCAGTAAGTCATTTTGCATAAACCTATTTAAATGTCTCAGAGACGAAGACCCAGGGAACGAGCAAGCAGAACTTTTTTCTTTTGGTGAATTTGATAAAATATATGCCTTCAGTGATCAAACTAACTAAACAATGAAACTTTTTAAAAATTGTTTCTTTAAAAGAAAAAAGATCTCCTTAAAGATTAAATTTTGAATTGCATTCTGATATATCCTAAGGTACCGTACATAAGGTACTAGTGGAGGGGAGTGGAATGAGGTTACTCGAGTGGGCACAAATATCAACTGTACAGTACCATGCAAAGGAATTCAATCACTAAATCCTTTATATTTAAAGTCAACGTATTACTTTATTAAAATAAAAGATAAAAGTAAGGTTAACATTTGTACTATTCATGAAACATGGAGGACAACAGGAATTTAAATAAGCTGAAAGTGACATACTCTGTACAATAGTTTAAGAATTAGAACTTCAATTGCTCACAAGATATTAATACATTATTTTTAAAAAGCTGACTAGACCTTTTATGTTTTTCAAATAGAAGCAAACATTCAAGTTATAAAAGCCTATTTTTCTGTTAAAATATTTTTTCAATTCTGATTTGTCACAATTTTGATTGTTTTTCTAAAAATAAGTACAAATTAATAAAATTTGATTTTTATTTATACATTCAGCCATTCAACACTCATGTCGTCTCCAAGTGCCCTCTCTGTGGTAGGTATCAGGCACAGAAATAAAAAGCAGAATCCAGGAAGGAGATCCACAAATGTGTATTTATAATACAGCGCAATAAACACAAAGAAATGTGGAATTATTTGAGCACGTAAGAGGGTACAGCCCAACTAGGTATGAGGGCTTTTCTAAGATGTAACATCAGATTAAAGTCCTGAAAGCTAACCTTGAGTTAGTCAAGTGGGGAGAAGTGCAGGCGATAACATTCTGGGCTGAATATGTGCCCAGGCTAGTTCAAGACAATGGAGGGAGATTAGCAATTTGGAGAACGGGGCAATCTACCTTTAGATGACAAAGGGGAGCCTGCAAAGGTTTGGCATGGAACCTGCCAAATTAGGTTGCACAGTGAGATTTGTATTTTAGAGAGGACCTGGGCAGAAATACAAAAGATGGATTAAATGATGATGAGACTGAGGTAGGAAAATCAAGGCATTAGCTGTTGCAGCTTGCAAGAGTAGGGTGGGGAGGATTGATGAGCTATTAAGAAGGTCAAAGGAACAGGCAGTCATGACCAGTAAGTATTAGTTAATAAAGGAGAAGAAAATATGACAATGAGTTCTAGGTTTTGACCTGAGTAACCAAATGCTGGGGAAAAACAGAAAGGCTGTAAAGGAAGATTAACATTTTTAGCATAAACTGAATATCAAAGTATCTGGGAATTTTATGACATCATTAAGTCTAATTATTATGCTGAAAAACCCTGTTGGCTGGAAAGATTAGTAGAATTTCCCAAGGTGTCTTATATATAAACTTGGAATAGTTTTCCTATTTCAGCTTTTCTGCTGCTTAGCATTTGCAGTTGATTTACAACTGGGCATTATTAGTTAAGCCATTTATCATCTCCATGAGGTTAATTAATGAAAGTATTCCATTTTTAATCGAACAGTGATGAAGTCCTCTAGAGAGACTCTAAAAAGCCAAAAATCAACTTTAATTTGAGTACTTTTTCTGCTTAAAGTCACTGAAATAAATTGTCTTTGCAAGAAAAAATAAATAGCAAGCATTGCCACTTAAAAATTCAGTTTACTAAATATTTCAGATTATTTTACCTTTGGGCAGCAATTTTTTCTTGTTTAAAAACTATTTTAACCTAAATATAGTGGTGACAAAGTGGAGAAATGCACACTGCAAGTGAGCTAAACATTGTTTGGGTCTTGTACATACCCAGCCACAAACTGCTCTGAATGGAACTTAGTTAAATAGCAGGTGTGACTAATTTTTTACTGATTGGTTGTCTGCCATCATATAGATATCATCCATGATAATTTTGTTAAATTAATAACGAATTAAACCAAAATAAATGTATGGCTCTGAGACCAAGAATAAAATGAATTCTGCCATTACTTAAGGAATGTATACTAATACAACAAAAGTTACATGTATATTTAACATGGTCTACAACAAAATACTGCATTTTTTTATAGCAACAAAATAATGAGCAGCTTCCAAGCCGCCAGCTGCATTAGCCCATCTCTGTTAGTCATACCATAAACATCTGAAACTGGGTAATTTATAAGAAATAGTTAATTGCTTAGAGTTTCAGAGGCTGGGAAGTCCAAAGTCCAGGGAACACATCTGGTGAGGGTCTTCCTTGGTGGTGGCTCCCCTGACACACAGTATCACATTGCAAGATGGTGGAAGCAGAGCAAGAGAGACCCTCACATGCTCCTTTTCAAGCCCTCAGAACCACGCCCATGACCACCATTATTAATCCATTCATTAGGGCATGGTCTTTAGAATCTAATCACTTCTTTAAAGCCCCACCTTTCAATTACCATAATAGGATTTCCTACCCTCTTAACAGTCACAGTGAGGATTAAACTTCGATTATTTGGGGGGCCAGTCAATCTACTGCATACCTTATGTGTATTATTTATACTAGTAATGTTGGTAAACATTAGTTAAGATGTCATATAATTTTCACTACCAGAAATTTATTATAATTTTCTTAGCCAATATATGATATAATTTTCTATGAAGTTTTCTTTTTTTTTAATTATTGAATTGCACTACCCCAAGATTTAATCCCCTAGTCACCAAGAATTGTGGGTTCCTCACCACGAGCCCAACCTTCTTCTTTGCTTCTGATTATTCTTACCCCTGTGAGCAGTGAGACATTGGACCCAAGCCCAAGCACCCAGGATACCCAGCAGCCTTCACATCATAGTTTTTTTTTTGTTTGTTTGTTTGTTTTTGTCTTTTGTCTTTTTTCTGTGTCCGGCAACGGATCGCAACCCTCAGTGTTGCCCCCGTACCGGACCGGGGACCGGCAACGGGACTGCAAGCCTCGGTGTTGCTCCCGCGCCTCACTCAGCCAGTGAGCG